CCCCCCCCCCTCCCCCCCAATCGCCACAAAAACCATTCTCTCAGAAAGGCGAAATCCGTGGAGAAATTTGGGGGAGGTGTACACGTTACATGCTCGAAGCTGAAACTGATTAAGTACGTCTCGACTGAGGAAAAAGACGATATACTGGATTTGTGAAATCTCGTTAAAGCAGTTGTAGATATGGTTCCAAGAAGAATAAATTTAGTTTAGATTTTTAACTATTAAATACATGTATGCATCGTCATAGCATGAATATTTCTTCTCAGACTTATTTCTGTATCGTATGAAAAAGCAACACAATTTTTAGAATGCGGAAATGGTGTCTCATAGAACCCAAAATGATTTAAATGCAACATTTCTGATCAAAATCACATTGGGATTACCCCCCCCCCCCCCCGGCATCACAGAGAGGAAATAAGGTGACACTGATCCCTACTCCTATTTTTCAAGGTGACGTTTCCAATTTATTTAATTCCGAGTAGAAATGTCTGGAAAAATTCTTGTCTTCGATGTACTTTATAATGTTCAAATTCTGCTAGATTTCACCCCCAAAATGAATGAAATCGCAATTCAGGGACACTAGATTTCATAATTTTCCGGACCCTCCTAGGCAGTCTCACGCCTTCGGCGTGAGGTTCGCCCCCACAAAATTAAGGTTTGGCTACGCCACTGGTTATAGCTGTACAATTATAGCTACAAGGAGTTGAAGTTATTGTTTAAAGTAAAATATAGCTGAAGTTAACAAATTAAAGTTTTACAAAATCCCTCTTCAGACTCGCGCCAGTCGCGCGTTCGCCAAACCTCGAAGGCTCATATTTTTCGTTCTGCCTTTTTTCTCTTTTGCCCCCCCCCCCCAACTCCCAGTGAAAATTCCTTAGAAAGGCACTGATCTGTTTGTTCATATACAGTATTCTGTCCAGAAATAACCTAAGAGAGTCCTGAAGGGGGGTCCCAATTCCATTTCCCACCTGAAATTTTGGGAAAATCCCAGTTCCAGTTGGATTTTTATTATAAATCCCAGTCCGAGTTTTTGAAATTCCAGTCAATAAAAAACTCTTTATTTATCGGTAGAATAAACAGTTTTAAGACCTTTTAAGCCACCGTGTGTGGAAGTGGCGGACACTTGATGAAATAGTGGGAGGGGGACTCGTGCCGAAGGCACGGAAAATTTTAAAAATTGAATCCCGGAAATGGCATTTGCAGCATTCTGAGACACGCATAATCAGAAAATCCAGAATTCCGGGCGCCAGAGTATGCCTGTTCGCAGGTAGTGCTATGAATAATATAGTTAACAACAAAAATCATGACCAAAGACACCAAAAACGGATCAAAAATGGGAATCGACTCACATTACTTCAATCCCATTCCCATTTTTGAGGACTTCATTTCCCATTCCCAGTGGCCAAATCCCAGTCCCAGCAACCCAAATCCCATTTCCCTTTCTAAAAATAGATCAATCCCAGTTCCCATTTTATCCCTTCAGGGCCCTCACCTAACACTGCGGTTGAAGTTCGGTTGCGGTGAGATTGCGGCGAGGTTGCGGTTAGGTTGATGTCGATCGATAGAAACTACAAACGATCGCAAGGGAAAGCCGCACTCAAAAATTCGATCGGCTACCATTCGTTTCCGAATCGTATAAAATGACATGTAAAATGTATTAAAAAATGCGAACGAGTTTTTCAGAACCCTCGACTCCTTATATACCCTCGACTACTCGATACTCGACATTTTAACTGGGCTCCCTGGGCAACGGTTCCGGATCGTTTACGGTTTCAAGTTCTCCGCAATGGCATGCATGCATGAGCGCTTGTTAATAAAATTAATTTACTTTGGTTTATTTCATAATTTTATACTTGGTGTACATACAGCAAGCTAAATTTGAATCTGGGTTTTATACTGTGGTCAGTAAGACGGCATGGAGCAAGCTAAGGCGTTCATTCAAGCCTGTACAAGGTAAGTTTTACAGTGCGAGGTTTAGCACTAGTTACATTTCACGATCGACTGACTTCACTCTTCAGCAATGTATGATGTTTATCGTCTAATCACTTCGTTGTATCATAGGATACAACGTTAAAACATGTGGATATATCGCTACTTCACTGTGAATGTCTTTATATTTATATTGTGGTTCTATAACCACTATAATGATATAAACATTCACAGTGATATATGCCCTGTATATATTCCGCCGGCAGAAATATCAATGGAAATTATCGAGTGCAAATTTATATAATTATATATATTCAATTTATCGGACCCAAACAGGAACAGCTGCGAAAACGATTCCTGGCAGAGGACGTATAGTTTTTAAAACTGGTCTAATAAATGTATATAAAATTTACACTCGATAATTTCCATCTACAAAACCCTTCAACCATATTATTCAATATGACAATAGAGTGAGACGCTACCAATATCTCAATACTACCGATTAAGGATTTAACCAGACACAGTACTAAAATGCGGTGCCCTGCAAAAAAAATTTCTTGCGTTTCGCCTACAAGTAAACTTATATAAAATAATACGCTAGATGGGGCCCCTAGATTTCTCCTGTTGGCTAATACATGAAGTTTCTAGTGAGGGAAAAGTGAGCGCGCGAGGTCTGCGAGGACCCACCATCGAATTTTTATCGAATTTCTAAAGCTTTTTCATGTGACGTCTAATGTTACGCTTACATTTGTTTTGGACTTTGGCCACTATCAGTTCTATATTTTTTATAAAGTTTTGGTTTGTTAGTGTGATAAATCTGTGTATATAGTCTATATAATGTGGTAAATGCACCTAGCAGATATGACTTGATATGAAATCGCACATGTTTAATATCTGTCACCTCTGATTGCCTTTTAACCCCTGGGGCC